ATCAAATTGCCAAGGTCTACCAAGTAACAAGTGGTAAGCATCCATATCCACAATATTAAAACACACCTCATCCTTGCATTTACCAATGGAAAAAGGCACCTTACATCATTTTGTTACATAAATTTTTTCTACTGTGTTAATCTAGCTAATAGTGTCTGGATTAGGGTGTTTATCTGCTCTAAATCCCAAACTTTCCATAGTATCCTTACCAATAATATTTTTGCAACTACCACTATCAATAATCACGTCAAATAAACAGTTGGTGATGGTGCACATAGTTTGAAATAATTGATGCCGTTGCGTATTATCCTCTTGTTTTGGAGACAACATCATTATTCTCAACACATAGTTTTGGCCATCATTATCATCCTTATACTCGTCATTATCCCCATTTGGACTATAACAAATCTCATCATCATTTTCTTCTAGTTCCACCAGATGTACTGCTTTCCTGAGAGGACAATCACTAGATCTATGACCAGGTTCATTGTATTTGAAACATTTCCCTAGATTTGGTTTAGCACAGGGATTTGCAACTTTTTGCCTTTCTTTCGCTTTTATCACTTTCTGTTTTCAATTGCCTTCTCTTCTTTATACCAGTCATTGCGTGCAAAACTATCATGAACTGATTTATTCTTGTCATTGGATGCTTTATAATTATCCCTGCTGTAACTTTTGCAAGAATAATCAAGTCTATTCTTTTCTCATAACAGTAATTCAGCTTTTAAAGAAATATTTCGTGTTTCAGATAAATTTCGTAATACTTGTACCCTTATGTTGTCTCTGATAACTAGCTTCAACCCTTCTAGATACATGGCAACCTATTGCCCCTTAGTCTCCCTCAGATCATTTTGCTTTGCTAGCCTCATAAATTCTATAGTATATTGATGTATAGTTTTCTAACCTTGATGGCACCTTTGGTATTGCTAGAATAAAATCTACTCATAATCGAGAAGAAGAAAATCTTTATGTAACAACTGCTTCATCCAATACCAAGTTATAACTGGTGCTTTCCCCTCATGATTCCTTCTAGACAACAACCTTTCCCACCATGCAGAAGCCACACCTTTCAATCTACAAGTGACAAGTCTTACCCTGTTTCTTTTTAAAATTTCCATATATTCAAAAAATCTTTCTATTTCTGCAATTCAATCTAAAAAATTTTCAATATTAAAACTCTCATCAAAGCAAGGAATATCTATCTTTAATATGAAATCGTGAGTATCTCTATCACCATAATCATTCCTTCCATATCCAACATACCTTTCTGCAACATAATCGTCCTCCATTTCTAAATCTTCCATGCGGACTTGTTGCCTATGCCCATTTGTAATAATATGTCTGCCAATAGGTTGTTCGAAAGCTACATCTTCTTCGATACGTGGCCCTTCATCATTCTGGTTTCTGTTGGCATCTACGCCAAGAGCATCAAGTCGATTTGTAATTTCTTCAAAGTGTCATTCCAAACGCTAGAATTTGAGATCCATTCGTTGCTCCAAAGCCCTCAACATCACCCCTTGATCTTGCGTTATAGATCGTAAGGTCTGAATTCGCCAATCTTCGTCATGAGAATTGTCGCTTACCATAACTGGGTCATTTGCCATTAGATTGAATGAGTCTTTTCCCGCTCTAATATTAACTAACACAACGAGTTAGCGTGGAAAGAAAGGCTAGCACTTGACTAGGCTTTTAAAGTTAATAACCAAGTTTCAAATATTGAAACTTTAAACTCAAGTTTGAGAGAAGAACTTAAGAATATTATTTGATGATTTAAACACTAAGCCTAAAGGTCCTATTTATAGTATTATAGGCCCAAGTCTTAACAAAAATCTACCTCTAGTTGTCTAGTACAACTAGAATAGTTAATAAGAGATTTAAATAAAATAAATGTTTTATTCCTAATTAAAACATGACTATCCTAAAGTCCCAATACAAGTAAGAAAGATATTCTATTATACCTATATTCCTATGTAAGGCTCTTAACCAAATAAGAAAAATATTAAAATTATGAATATGCCCATTTATAACTTTTGGGCTTTTCGTTTTGGCTTTTGACGCTCTGCTTGCTCTAAGAAATTATCTGCTAGACGTTCTATGTTAAGTCAAGTCCTTAAATGTTTATATTTACAAAGATATTTGGAATTGTAAATAAGTATTTACATGCTCATATTTGCTTTATAATTGTGAATATTATGTTGAGCCCCAAAATGGGTGCATATGAATGGTAATACTAGTGGTGAAAGGACCATAAATGAAAATGGCACGAGATGTGTTCCAAACTACAAAATTATATGTTATGTGAATATTGATATGAAATGAGATCGAAACCACACATTATGTCAAGAAGTTCCATAATGATGTGATGATGTTTATTTACTTGTGAATCGTATTATATAATTGAATGTTTATATGAATTTGATGGATGACAAGCCCATGCATGTTGATTAATGCTTGCTTCAACTTAGTGGGCCATACCCACTTAGGTCTTCACACCGGTCATGGGTCATGACACTACATTTTTTTTGTGTTGACTGAACTTGGAAATAAGACCAAGCTACTTACATACCTCCTAATATGAAGGATTAACTCATAACATAATTCTTTTTTTTTTTTAATGTCCTTAATTTTGCCAAAGTCATCATTTTAAGGATTTTCAACTTAACGGTCCTTTTTTTTTTAGAACCTAAATTTTCCTAAGTTGTCTTGGTAAGGATTGCCTTTTTCAACTAGTGGTTTAGGCTCCTTCTGTGGAGCAATTGATATTCAAGCGTAATGTCACTTTAACAATTTGCCATTGATTAGGCCAATTGTGAGGAGTAGACCTAAGCAATCAGCCTTCTTTGCTTTAGTTGCAATTTGATTGTTCAAACGATCATCGACATCAACTTGGTAGTGTTAACATTGCAAAGATTTGAATTATCTTTAATCGAAAAGAATTTTTTTTATGGGTTGACTAAACTTTGCGATGAGACCAAATTGCCTATGTATCTTCTAATACGAAGGTGTTGTCCACATTTGTACCCTTGCAAGAATAGGTATCTAACATATAATATAATGACAAGTAAAGTGTCGATCCCACAAAAAATTGCTATAAAATTTTCACTATGTATTAAAATTAACACAATTCAATCTTATCTAAACAAACAAAATTAAGTAACTAAATATATTATAAATTAACGAAATTTAAATAACAAGAATTTAAACTAAAAACATAAAATAATAATAAAGTTGGATAAATATCAACTCAAACAAGCCTAGGATTACAATATCCCTCACATTTCATCTAAATCTTACTTTCTCTCTTAACTTATTCCAATGGGTTGAATTGCTAACATAAAGTCCTCAATTATTTTTAAGGCTCTCTCGAAACTCTTGTAAAAATATCTATTTTAATGAAAACACTATATCTCTATGTGTATTGAAATTAAAACAAATTTATTAAGTTCAAACTTTAATACTAGCTACATATGGCATATAAGTATATTTCTATCCTATGCCATCAATTCTTATATGGCTCACCTCTTCCTCTTAAAGTTTTAATTGTTTCCATTTTTCACTAATTTCCTCCATAAGATTGCTTCCAATCGAAATCAAAATACTAAGAAACAATAAGAAATTGAATTACGAACATGCCAGCGCCAACGACTAATTATTTAACCTTGGCAATCCCCTTGTTCAATCAACAAGATGGGCACTCCCATAAACCCTAATTTAGAGAGATTCTAAATGCATGTCTTTTAACATTAAAATTCAATAAAAATATAATTATTAATGAAATGATCTTGTAAGGCAGCTTGGACCAAATTGGGCCAATAAGGTTAGTCCAATGAACACTATTAGATTTTCCCTAGTTCTAAACTTAGGGGGAAAGACTCAAACTTTTGTTTCTTTATTTCTTTTATGTTTTTAGGTTTTAACAGGTGTTACACTAATAGATTATAAAAATACTCAAAATGCATTTACTTAGAGCTAATTATGCATAACATTTAGATTGAGTCAGGTGAGATAGAAAATAGTGGTGGCCATCATTGGGAAGTGTAGCGGAGTGGAATAACGTTTGTTCGATAGAAAACAAAGGTAGCTATGAGGTAAGCAATGGTGATAATCAAAATGATCATTTAGGATACGAGATTAAAGTTAGTATATTATTTTATATTTATAATGCTAATAGAATAAATAAAAATCAATAAAATTTATTTTTATATCAAATATTAATAATTATTATTAAAATTAATACTAATCATATAAATTAAACATATTTGAAGTTAACAAACTAATAATTATTTATTTATTTATCTCAAAAGTTTAATTAATAATTTATACATTTACATAATTCTTCTTATAATTAATTATGTACATTTCTCATTCATGTATTTATTTAGGATAAAATACCCTTACTCCCTAACTTTTAGTTATAATTTTATGCGAGTCTATTAGTTTTCAAAATAGACAATCTGTATCGAAAGATTACTTTTTGCTAGACACATAAGTCTAACTATTAGTCCACCATTAATATTTTTGTTAGTTTAATAATGTGGTAATATTGAAAAGATAATTTTACCTTTCATTAATTTTAAAAATTACAACACTATATAAACTATAATTTTTAATTTTTAATTTTTTTCTTATTAAAACAAAAAAACCTCCCCCGGGTGCTTATTGGGAGCACCAAATTTGGTGCTCCTTGAGAAATTCGGTCAAATTTGAGTTAGATCCGACCACCCCGTGGCTCGGTCAGGGTAGGGAACATTGTTGGGCGATCTAAAAAAAGTAAAAAAAGAAAGGATATTTTAGACATCTCAATTTAAATATTAACGCCGTTGAGCTATTTAGGGCAGAATGTCCCTTTCTCAAAATAGATGTTATTTTCTCAATTTTATTTTCACTTGTTTTGGGCATAAATATTACCAACCATCCCAACGAAAAGCATTCTTTGGGCATGAATATGACGTTTCAAGGTAATGTTAGAAAATAAAATTCAAAATAGTTTAGACATAGAACTTTGTCATTTTAGAATATCATATTAGAATGATTTTACATGCTATCAGTTGACAGACAAGAGTTTATAATAAAGCAAGAAGCCTAGTCCTAACAAATTTATTGTTTGGTACAATCTGTGGGAGCAAAAGAGACAGTCCTCTTTTGAAGGTCATACTCCACCTGGAAATTTATCTGTGCGAAGTTTCCGAAGATGGAATTGGAGTTTGTGTTACTTGGAACTATGAGCATACAAAGTAAGCCGTCATTAGCGCCAAATGTATTGACAGGTTGCAGGCGAAGGTCGGCACCAGTGAAATGGAATAGCATGTCTGGAATATTGGTCTCTGCTCCATAACACAAGCTAAATGTTCCAGAAGGATCTTGCTTTGGCTCTGCTCCAATGGCCTCCTTAACCATGGTCTCTACACTATTGTAAAAATTTGATTCTAGGATCGTCAGTGTTGTTCCGGAATCAATTATGATATTCCCTTGGCTTGACGCTGCCTGTGCGGTCTTGTCTCCAATGCTAATACTTTCAAGATTAAGGTAGTAGAAGGTTGCAGGGGTTTTGGTTATTAGAGGAGTTGAAACAGCTCCGGGCCGAGAAATTATTGCCTCTTGTCCGAATATTAGTTTACCACTAGATGTTGCAGAACGTGGAACCAAACAGTAGGAGAATCTATGATCAATTTGAGTGCCTATCTGAGAAATCAATGACAAGGGCCCTCCTCCCAGGCCAACGAGTCCAGCACCAGGCCTTCTGAAGTTACCTTGATTATTGTGTCCACATCCAAAAAAGGATGTGGGGAATGAGGTTTTTTGACTGCTGGAGGAATCAAAACTCAAGGTGTCACTGCTCAAGATTCCCATGGTATATGAATTGTCTCCATAGGAATAAAAGTATTCACATTCATTTGTGTTTAAGCAGCTCTTTCTGGCAAGAGCTTGGCAAGCCTCTGAAACACAGGAAAGCTTTTGGTATGTTGATGATGCTGCAGGATCAAAAGGAGACGACCCTTGAGAATAACACTGAGTCTGGGGGCATGGAGCGCATTGTATCCATGTAAGGTCACTTCCGGTGTCTGCAATGGCTAAGTATTCCACTGGTGGGGTTCCAAAGGAGAGTTTCATCAGGTAACTACCTCCATTTGGAATCACTACTGATTGGGTGGCTTTTTGATCTATATAAGATTGGATGTTTTTGATTCGGTCCATTGAATGAAGGGCATTTTTTCTTAGAAGCTCTGATGAGGTGATGGAATCATTAAAGAATGGAGACAGTGGCGAATCACGATGAATAAGCTCTACACTGAAACCATATGCTGTCTTTGGTCCAACCACCGATTGGATCACGAGGCCGGAGAAAAAAATGGCAGAGAGCAAAAGAAACGGAGGATTATGCATCATTCACAAGAACAAAAAAGCAGTGAATCTTTGAGAAGAAAGCTAGATAAGATGGGGATGATATATTCTGATGAATGTTTGCTATATTTGAGGGTGTTGCACTTTGCATGTGATCCTACTTATAGATTGGACATCACTTTGCTTTGCTAAAGAGTTGAGGGTAGATAATGTGTACACTGTCTTAACCATTGAACTAATTTCCAATTACTTTCAAAGAAAGAAAGAGAAAAATTACATCCAATTTGATAGAACTGCCAATAATTCCCATTTCTTTGAACGGACTTATACATGGAATCAGTTGCGGTGATTGCGGTGGCTACTCTTTCTCATTGGAAAAAAGTGGCCAGACTGGGTACTTCTGACAACGAAATCTATACCACGTTGTCTCAAGCTGTCGAGCACAATGTAGACATAGCTCTATTCACTTCTTTAAAAACAAATTACTGTTGGATGATATTTAAATGTAAACCTGATTGTTTCAAATTTGTTTCTGTCAGTGTTGGATGCTGTTTCCCCTCTTTTAAGGCAATGTATTGACTTACTTTGTGTGAATACTGGGTGTTAGTCATGGAAATTTGGTTGTTTTGAAATCTACTTCATCATGTAAAGGTTTTCCATCTATATGATGGACTAGTTTTTTTTGAACGAGTGATGAGATGTGACATCAATTAGCAATGCTTTCTAGATATTTAAATAGTCATGGGAAACCAACATTTTTACAGAAAATGATTTCCATGAGTTGTGGAAAGCCATCACCCCACTCTTAATCCTCCTCGGTAGACTAAGAATACCGAGTCTTTCTATCCTTTTTTGCCATTTTCTCGTTAGTTTTTCCATTACTTTTACTGTTGCTTCTCCCTTTTGTCCTTTGTGTGTATATATTTTAGTTATTTGTTTATTATTATTTGTTCCCCTCCTTCCCAAAATGTGTTCCCATGCTCACGGTTTTAATCAACTACCTTCCTTCTCATTGTTTCCTGCTCAGCCTAATATTCCCCTTCACCTCTCCATTGCCCACCCTCACATAATCCTTAATTCACCTCATCATTATTAAATTTAGGAAGGATATATATTTTTATTTATTTTTTTCATATAATAGAATCTACTATGTTACTTGACGCCGGGGCATTGTAAAGACACCTGGGCGTTGTGAAGGACACCAATCATGGCGAGGTTGAAAACCCCACTAAGGTGAATCACCAATTTTGGTAAAGTTAGAAAACATTATACTTATAACTCCTAATTAATAATATTCTAATAATATACTCTTGTATCATTACTATTCGTGTAAACTAAAGACCTAATATTTCCTAACCTAGTCCATTTCCCTGTCCCGAGTCAAGAACACCAGGGATGGTATCTGCTCGTTAACACCACAAGCCTTTCCCCATTCTCACTATCCTCATAATCCATACACATGAGGTACATCAATCCTCACATCACCAACAGTTGTTCTTTGTACTGTCCTATCTTATTTAATAACTCCCAAATATGGCTCCATTTATCCATAAGCTCTAAGTCACAAGCTAGCAACACATATCTACTTGCGAGAACAAGTGGACTTATTCTATCCATTGGATAGAATAAGTCCATAATAATTGAACTTTGGGAGGCCAGTGGACTTTAATAGGCAAGGGATACAACAAAGGTTCAGCAATGGCCAGATTTAATGGAAATTTATAGCTAACAGCTCCAAACTTCACTCCAGCTACAAAAGGCAACCTTTGAGCCATTTAGAAGCAAGAGAATACTAACACTCACTTGAAAAACCCTAGAGAGAATTTCTAAAGCTTATTTTCTGTCTTTAGCCTTCATCTTAGTTTTTCATCAAGCTTGAAAGAATCATTCACTTGAAAATTCTTAAGAAAATATTTCTTCTTTTTGTACCTAGGCCTAAACTTCTTAGCATCTACCCTTTGTGAGGCATTTTCTTGCTATAATTTGTACTCATCTTGTAAAATTTCTAACTTAACGTTGAAAAGCTATTTGTGGGGTTGAGTTCCATTTGCGCTTGTGAAAAAGCATTGTTAAGGGTTTCATTTGCTCTGGTGAAAAAACGTGTCGAGGGTTCCACTTGCTCTTATGAAAAAACATTGTGACAGTTTAATGCTTGATTGTCAGAAGAATAAACTTAAAGTAAAACTACCAAGAGGTGAATTAGTTGTTAAACAAAAATTTCCCTTTTTTCAAAAGCTTTGAAAATGAAGCAGAAATATGAGAGAATGAAATAGCAAAATGGAGTATGAAATCAGTAAGTGAAGTGTAGAAAAAATAATAAGTACTAAGTAGGATTTATATAAAGGTTCGCCGTTCCAATGCCTATGTCCTCACATTTGATATCACAATGAGTTTGAATCCACTATCAATTTTCCTTTTTAGTAACATCAAGTGTAACCTTTACAACATACCTTTTAACAAGATTAGGCGTAACCTTCACAACATGCCTTTTAAGGATCAGACGTAACCTATATCAAGACATTGTCTTTTTCAAATTCAAGCATAACTTTTACACAAGATGCTGCCTTTAAAGGTCAAAGACAAAGCCAAATTCTTACTTTGCTTGGAGGATAACCAATACAATAATGGATTCTAGAGAATTCTAACTTAAAACCTCTATAAAGGTTGATAAAGAAGTTTGGATAAGAAAGATGAAAGCTTTCTTAAAGCATATGAATATTAAGGAAAGTTTAAGCTTAAGGAGGATCAGCTGAAAGATAAAATAGTGAACTTTAGGTCCCGCTCTTATTTAAAGATAAGATTTTCTGCCCATAGCTTTTTCACTTGTTTTTCCAATTTTTTCTTCTTCAAAGATGATTTAAAATCATGCAAAATCCTTGCAATCCTTGCTTTAACATCCACAAGGTAGGTTTTTATAGCCCTTATCATTTTTTGCCCATTGGAGTGAAATTTGAATCACTTCTCATATGTTCTATCCACCTTGCACAATTTTGTCACATATATAGAATCAATTCTTTACTGTTGAGTTGTCAGTTCATCACAAAGTTTGGAGTTTTCTGTCTCTAGAGAATTGATTCTTTTATTTTGAGATGTAGGTTATTCTACAATTAGGTTCAAAGGTGTCACCTTTATAATCTTGGACAATTAGTTCTTCTACCTCAAAGTGTCTGCTCTTCACTGTGGTTTAGTGCCAAAATTTGAATTTAAGCCTGATTTTTTCTGCTCTAATCTTATCCAACTATTCTTGTTTTTCCTTGGTCAGCAAGTTTTTGAATTTTAGTTTTGGTGCTTCAAGAACCGATATCTTCTCCATGTAGAATCGATTTTTTTCATTGCATTTCTACCTTCTGCATTCTGTCTCTTTAGAATCGATTCTTTGTCTCCCTTTTGTCCTTTGTGTGTATATATTTTAGTTATTTTTTTATTATTATTTGTTCCCCTCCTTCCCAAAATGTGTTCCCATGCTCACGGTTTTAATCAACTACCTTCCTTCTCATTGTTTCCTGCTCAGCCTAATATTCCCTTTCACCTCTCCATTGCCCACCCTCACATAATCCTTAATTCACCTCATCATTATTAAATTTAGGACGGATATATATTTTTATTTATTTTTTTCATAAATCAAATCTACTATGTTACTTGACGCCGGGCATTGTAAAGACACCTGGACGTTGTGAATGACACAATCATGGTGAGGTTGAAAACCCCACTAAGGTGTAATCACCAATTTTGGTAAGTTAGAAAACATTATACTTATAACTCCTAATTAATAATATTCTAATAATATACTCCTGTATCATTACTATTCATCTAAACTAAAGACCTAATATTTCCTAACCTAGTCCATTTCCCTGTCTCGAGTCAAGTACACCAGGGATGGTATCTGCCAGTTAACACCACAAGCCTTTCCCCATTCTCACTATCCTCATAATCCATACACATGAGGTACATCAATCCTCACATCACCAACAGTTGTTCTTTGTACTGTCCTATCTTATTTAATAACTCCCAAATATGGCTCCATTTATCCATAAGCTTTAAGTCACAAGCTAGCAACACATACTACCTGCGAGAACAAGTGGACTTATTCTATCCATTGGATAGAAAAAGTCCATAATAATTGAACTTTGGGAGGCAAGTAGACTTTAATAGGCAAGGGATACAACAAAGCTTCAGCAATGGCCAGATTTAATGGAAATTTATATCTAACAGCTCCAAACTTCACTCCAGCTACAAAAGGCAATCTTTGAGCCATTTAAAAGCAAGAGAATACTAGCACTCACTTGGAAAACTCTAGAGAGAATTTCTAAAGCTTATTTTCTCTCTTTAGCCTTCATCTTAGTTTTCCATCAAGCTTTAAAAAATCATTCACTTGAAAATTCTTAAGAAAATATTTCTTCTTTTTGTACCTAGGCCTAAACTTCTTAGCATCTACCCTTTGTGAGGCATTTTCTTGCTATAATTTGTACTCATCTTGTAAAATTTCTAACTTAACGTTGAAAAGCTATTTGTGGGGTTGAGTTCTATTTGCGCTTGTGAAAAAGCATTGTTAAGGGTTTCATTTGCTCCGGTGAAAAAACGTGTCGAAGGTTCCACTTGCTCTTATGAAAAAATATTGTGACAGTTTAATGCTTGATTGTCAGAAGGATAAACTTAAAGTAAAACTACCAAGAGGTGAATTAGTTGTTAAATAAAAATTTCCCTTTTTTCAAAAGCTTTGAAAATGAAGCAGAAATATGAGAGAATGAAATAGAAAAATGGAGTATGAAATCAGTAAGTGAAGTGTAGAAAAAATAAAAGGTACTCAGTAGGATTTTTATAAAGGTTCGCCATTCCAATGCCTATGTCCTCACATTTGATATCACAATGAGTTTGAATCCACTATCAATTTGCCTTTTTAGTAACATCAAGTGTAACCTTTACAACATACCTTTTAACAAGATTAGGCGTAACCTTCACAACATGCCTTTTACAAGATCAGACGTAACCTATATCAAGACATTGTCTTTTTCAAATTCAAGCATAACTTTTACACAAGATGCTACCTTTTAAAGGATCAAGCAAAACCCTTTTACCTTTTGCTTGGAGGTATAACCAATACAA